AAATCGATCGTGTTACCCCGGAGGCCCAATAAAAAGGGGGCTGTCAAGTACAAAATGTAAGGAAACGGGGGGGGGGGGGGGCGGAGGAGAGTTGACGACAGCGGTATGTGTGTGCCGATGTGTGTTTTCTCTCTTGTTCTGGTGCTGTCATGACACCCATATGTGCCTGTTTCAGCGGCCATGGGCTACGTATGTATTTGGCGATGAACGACAGTCAGCTAGCTCCCCAGCCATCGCTCGAGATGATCGAAACAGATATTTTCAGAATTGCTCCGTTTGCCCTCTTCTCGGCGTGATGGGAAACTTCTTTGACGTGAAGGCGTGGACGAACATTTTTTGTCTTGCCAACGTGCAGGACACAGGTCAAGCCTTGCTTCGACTGAGCTGGACCAGCGAATGATTCAGAAGCACACGGTCTTGAGACGCGTCCGTCGGTTTGTCTTGTCCTTCCCCTTACTTCACTCTCTCGTCCTTTTGTCTTTTTGTCGTGTCGACAGGAGTTATTCGATTGAGCTTAGCAATTAGCGAATGATTCACACGGTCTTACGATGCATCCGTCGGTTTTGTCTAGTCCTTTCTTTTCCCTTGTCTTGCTGTCGTGTCGAAAGGCTTCCAAGCCATGCGGCGCGTCGGTTTCTCCGATCTTCTTTGGCCTATGTCTTCTCTAAGATGCCACTACTGTATCCTTTCTTGTCTTTTTTTGTCTTTTTGTCGTGTCGACAGGCTTCCTCGACATACTGTACATCGGTTTCTCTGATCCTTCGCTGGCCTGTGTCTTCTCGAAGATACCACTATCCTTGCTTGTCCCTTTTTTATCTTTTGTCGTGTCGAAAGGCTTCCTTGACATACTGCTATGCCTCGGTTTTCTCTGATCCTTATGTCATGTCTTCTCTGGTCTGTGCCTTCTCGAAGATTCCACTGTTAACAACCTTTCTTGTCCCCTTTTTGTCTCTTTGTCGTGTGGACAGGCTTCCTCGACGACGCGGCGGAGATCGCCCGCGTCCGAAGGGGCACCATGCTTAGCCGGGACAGCGAAGTGCGCCGCACCTGGTGGGCGGTGACGGGCAACGACAAGGCCCTCGGCGACCGCGGGCAGGAGATTGCGGCGGGAATGGCCGGCCCGGGTGACATGGTGCGTGGGAGTGAGGCCGTCAATTTTTGAAAGAAGAAAAGTTTATTGCAAGTTTTGAAGGGGAAAAAAACTATTATAGTTTTGAAAGATTTTTTTTTTGTAAGTTTTGACAATAGAACGCTTTTTGTTCCAAACCCTGGTGGTGTGGATGGTTCATGGTGCCCAGTTTGACGTGCAGTCGTAGGCCCTCTATAAGGCGGGCATGCGCCAGACCGTTTCACCTGCCCTATACAGGGCAGCCGCCTTGTTCATGGTGTGGAACAACTTGACTATTCCGTCTGTGACAGCTAACTTTACCCCCCTTATATAGGGCACCCGCCTTATATATCCCGCCTTAATAGAGGGCCTTTTACGGCTGTAGGGCGTGCGAGAGAGGCCGGCAAGTTTTGGACGACCAAAATGTTCCAAAACCATGACTCATGCTAAAGGAGACATCACATGGCATCCAAAAGGGGACGTATAGTGCCGACATGCTCCTGCGTTGAAGCCCTCAAGATCGAAAGAACTTATCCCCGATAATTTCGTTCCAGAAACCTGCTGTGTACAACGACTGCTTCATCCTAAAACGACCAACATGCGGTATCCAGGGGACAACAGCAGTGGACACGTTCCCCCGTTGCAACGCTTACGTCCCCAGCCCCGCTGGACGAATCCAAATACACGTTGAATTGTGCACGAGGGCCGCAGTCACACGCACTCTTGCCGCACGCGGACCCCCCTTGCCCCTCCCTGCCGCTGCGGAGTCAAATGTTGTTGGCTGCGGACGCGCGTTCATGCACTTAGATACCTTGTGCAAGATCTCTACTTCCTCCGCGTTATTCTTACTCTTGCAGCAAAAGCTGGGAGTGTATGCGGTTGATCCCGCACTACTGCAGGTTAACTAAGCACCTTCGCTGCACGTTTCTGATTGAACCCCCGCCCTTCTGCACCACACCATTTCATCTACCCCCCACACGCACACGAAGAGAACTAACATGTGTTGGAGGTGCTTCTCTAGAGCAGAAACCGTTTGTCCGTCTAAGACGGGATGTACAAACTCCTCTGATCGCTGCATGTGCTGTTCCCACTGTGCTACAGATTCTCTGTGCGATGTATCCCCTCCTACCGATCGGTGATCGGTCCTGTCGGAACAATTCTCCGTCTTCTCGAGGACGCGTGGTCAACGGTCTAACCCCTAAGGCATGCAAGCATGCAGTATGCCCCCCTCCCACTATGTCCAGCAATGAACATGAACACCCACACTGGTTTGTTGTGACCGCCACCACCCCATCTTGGCGTGTGACCCCGCAGGGGTACACCGGGCAAGCGAGCTAGTTGGGCGACACCGCAGCAGGGTCTCCCAGCTCGCGGCGTGCTTGTGGAGGAGGCGGAACGGGAGACCAGCACGGCGTTTTGGAAACGACTAGGAGAGGGCAGCAGCAGTGTCGCGTGTAGCATAATTAGCCAGCGGAAAAGAAGACAAACGGGGCCAGAACGATGGTATAGAGCCTGCTTTTGGATCGCCTTTTTGGCGTGTCCTGTCGAAACGGTTTTCTGAGGCAGCCCCCCGCACCTGCAATGTTTTCCCGGCGAATGTAGTGGCGTTCTCTAACGACTGCGGCAGGGTGGGGGCATTTAGTTTGGTTTGAAACGTGGTCATGCGCAGTCGTTTGTGAACATCAGCAACTCGGAGCGGGCTAGGGAGGTCCACACACTGCTGTGGGATCCTCGTGACGTTCGTTTCCTTCGGGACGTGGAACGCACGCCCAACTGGATAGTTTAGGAGTTTTTCTACTTCATGATGTACCTATCCATGCGGTCAAACACCCGCAACCATTGCCATTTAGAGGGGTGATACGTGCATGCTCCGCTCTGGTGTGGAAAATCCACCAACAGGTGGAAAAGGTTCTTCTGCAATTTTTGCGGCGCAACAACCGCACGTCTTGCAAGCACTGTTCAAAGGATAGAGGGGTGATGCTAGCATGTTCCGCTCTGGGGCGGAAAACCCGCCAAAACGCCAAACAAACGGTTCTGCATTTTTTGTGCCATACACCATCATCTTTGCTTGAAAATCATTGGCCCCCTCTTTGTGTAGAGGTACCAGGGTGGTGAGGAGGCGGGCGGGTGTACTCATGTAAAGGCATGCCGTAGTCGCAAGACCATGCATGACCTCGCATCCCTGCAATGCCGGGACGGAGCGGTATGCCGGGATTTCGCCGGCCCAGACCACTTTTCACAAGGCTGAACCAAAAGCTGGTGGGGGGCGGGGGTGGGGTGGGGGGTGGGGGTTCGATGTGGACGCTTCCCCGTCGCCGGGCCCCTCAGTCGCGAGACAGGCATCTAAGCCTTGCCTTCCAGCGCCCGAGGCCGTTTTGATGGGTGCTGTCATCGTGTCTGTGCAGGGCTTCAAATTCCGCCATGCGGCGGTTCAAATTCAATTTTGCTGTGCAACTATGTATATCCTGCAAGGTTCATCGCGAAAGAAGCGTCAAAATCGTGCATATTTCCATCAACTGATGATGTCGTGTAGGGAAGCAGGGTTTGCTGCTGGCCAGTTTTGGTCTTGGTTAACTCCTCCTTCGGCTGTGGGAGTCGATCGACCGTCCCATTGGCAAAGTTGCACAGACAGTGCACAAGGTCTGCAGCACTACTGTACCCCCAAATAGCAAGAAAAACACGATTTATGCGGGAAAAAACACCCACCCCGAATCGACTCGTCCCAAACACAAGGAAATAATAAGGTTTCAGGCGGTGGGTGGACTGGCCTGTTTCGGCACGGCTGTCGTTACATTGTGTACGGGAAGTTGCGAAGATGCCGTCGCCGGTCGGGTGCGCGCGGGGGGTGGGTGTTCTCATAGCCATGCATGCCTTACTAGTCGTGAGACCATTGACCTCGCATCCCTACAAAGCTGGGATCGAGCAAACTGTTATCACATCAGATCAATCCATACCGACGGGAAAAACGCAAAAGTTGTCGTAGAGTGCTCATACACTGCCCATACACTAGTTGCGCTCATACGCCGCTAATACACCAGTTGCACCATTTACAAGTCCCTGTTCTCCTCGGCCTGACGGCCTTCCTCTGGTTTTCAGGAAGCAGAGAAGTGCCACCTCTCGCGAACACGTAGCTTCTCTTTCGATCCTCCACGTTGCCCCCCCTCTCCCTACCCCGCCTTCGTCCCCCCCCCCCTCCATCTGCCTCTCTTGGGAACTCCCCGCTACCCCGCTACTAAAATCTCCCCCTAGCCCTTCCCGGTGTCGGCCTCCCAAGTCCTGACCATCTCCCATGGCCCCCGCAACCACCTCCTACCCGTGCTCACCCCCCGTCTCTTCCCTGCCTGCGTCTCCCCCTCCCTCTCCCTCTTGTTTCCCTGCGTCTCCCCCTCCCTCCTCCTCTTGTTCTCCCCCTTCCCCCCCCTCCGTGTCCGCATCGACCCCCGTTGTTGTGACCGCGGACGCGGCGGCCTCGAGCATGTCCGCTTGGTCGTCCCCGTCTTCCCCTTGCCCGGCCGGCGGCGGCCAGAACGGCTCGCCCGGGAACAGTCGAGCGAAGTCGCGCTCCGCCTGAACGACCACGTCGTGCAAATATAGCTGGGGACGGAGGGGGGGGGGGCGACGTCGATGTTTTTTTTTTTTAGCGTGAACAGATCGTTTCGACTTGATAACGAAGCTAAAAAAATGTGAGAAGACAGCAGCAGCAGCAGCAGCAGCAGCAGCAACAACAACAACTTACGATCGCCCCGCTAGGTAAAGACTTGGCACGTGTACCTCTTGGCCAGGGCGTTCGCACACCACCATATTCGCCGGCAGGTCTTCCGGCCTAGGCGGACCTTGGATGTCCCAGCTGAAGCCAAGGCTCCAGATCTTGATCGAGAACAATCACCACCACCACCATCACAACAACAAAAAAAAAAGGCAGAGGAGATCGGTCAACTCAAAATAAAACACGACGGCATCGGCTGATAAGCACAAGAGCAGCAGCAGCAGCTCTAGACGAAGCAGACACCCGAAGCACGTCACACATGGGATGAGTACAAGCGAAGCACGAAGTCCAAGTAGCGGGGGCTTACACACACCCATACATGCGATTCTCGCAGCGATCGATGCAAGAGGGGCAACAGGAGCGAGATTTTCCAGAGGCCGCCAAAGAACCAAAAAAGAACGAAAACAAAGAAGTAAGACACGTATCCAGCCGGTTTCCCTCCACTCACTGTGAAGACTTCCGACACATCCTCTTCGACTGCTGTGTTTATAGTCTTTCTGTGATGGTACAGAAATAAACTCCTATAATAAAAAAGGTCTGGGAGCCCCCCCCCCCCCAGCCCCCCCCCCCCCCCACCTCCTCCACCCCAGCAGCGGCAAGCAGCTCCCTGGACGCTCGCCCCAAAACCCCGTCTCTCCCATCCTCATCCCCCGGCCCATCCACGTTAGCGTTAGCTCCCGCCGGGACTTCTTCTTGTTCTCCCTCCCTGTCTTGATTCGTCGGTGCCCCCTGCGACCCTACCCCCCCGGCCTGGCTGCTGTCGTCTGCCTCGCCCGCCCTCGCGGTGGTCGTAGTGAGGTGAATCACGCAGGCGCCGCCCAGGTTATCCGGGCAGGCCGCCGTGGTGTCGTCGAGGGACACGACGTGCACCGCCGCGGGGTTTCCGATGCCCTGGAGGCCGGGGGGCAAGACGCACAGTCCCCGCCCCCTGCCCTCGGGCGCCACCGGGCCGGAGGCCAGGACGACTCGGCGGAGCAGCCTTCCGCGGACGCGGCTGCTGCTACCGGTGCCGGCGGTAGGGAGTGTTTCTGGTGGTGGCGGTGGTGGTGGTGGTGGTGGGTGTGGCGCAGAGAGTCGTTCTGGAGCAGGCGTCTTTGTCGGTTGGTGGGTGTTGGTGGGAGGGGATGCGGCGAAGAATTCCCCTCCCACGACGAGGAACGAGCACGCGAAGGCCCGCCCGGCGTCGTCGACGACTCCGACGCACCTGACGTGGCAGGCAGGGAGGGAGGGAGGGAGGGGGCCACGAGGTGCCATCACAGCAACGCGACGGTTGCGGGAACAAGAAATAAGGAGTCTGCGTGGGGACAACGGTAGTAAAGAACGGAGCGGCAGAGGTATTCGCTATTCGCAATATCTATTCCGCGCAAGATCAGCATTCTTCCATCGCTCAACCATTTTTCGCAGCCGGTGCCACTGAAAGTACAATGCCTCGTGTTACATAAATACATACATACGTTCACGGTCCCGGTAGTCTAGTTGGTAGTTGGTCAGCCAGGGTCAGAATTCGAATCCCGGCATAAGCGAGGTTTCTTTGTAAAGTGAGTTTTTCTCTCGCTTTCGTTCCCGGCCCGGGTGGAAAGAGCTTGTATGTAGTTCGTGTGTACTTAAAGGGAAGAGAGTGCTGCATTCTTCTCGCATTCAAAAATCAAAGGAAAGCAACGCAGGAGGGATGGTAGGGGGCCTCAGGGAGAGGAACCCTTCTGTGTGACCACGGGTTGGAGTAAACAGCACAAATGCTGCGAGCGCTGATTTGAAGAGTGAAGACAAACAAGAAAAAAAAAACACGCATCCATATGTTTCTTCACTCTACATCTTGCGTGCTACATGCATATACATACACCTAGACATTATCCGCCTCCCTGAGAGTAGCCATTCTTCAAGAGCTGTCAAAGCTATCGAAAAGGCAAACACACACACATAAGCTGCACACACCGCTATACACACCTCCCGGAATTCCGGTCAACAACAGCCCCCCTCAGCTGACGCCTCAGCATGCAGATCGCCCCGTGGACCGCCGCCATTCGGCAGAACGACTGGGACAGCTCGCCGACGCCGTAAAGCGGCGCGATGAATGCCGTTTCGCCGAAACGCCCGAGGGCGGAAAGGTGCCTGTTCGTTCACCCGCGCAGAGCACGGACACGGAGTTTGGAGCGTCAAGAGAGGGGGCCCCGATTAATGAATGTGCAACGGTACCACCCGTGAGCGCGCGCCGTGAGGGAGATCACGAAGGTGGTGGGTTTGTCCAAAGAGTGGACAGACCGGTCGCTTTATCCTTCTCGTTGGCGTTTCCGTCTACCTGCCGCAGGGCAGCATATGCGCCTGCCTACGTGGTGCTGTTATCACATCATGTGGGGTTCTCGACGTTGCATTTGCCTCTCAGCTGCGCACCGCCTATCAGCAGCCCGGCCCCGATCTTCCATTGTCTGCAAGGACAAAGGCAAGCCTCTACTATACGTCGCTCTTTGTGTCCAAGTATCGAGCCGATAGCCGCATCAAACCCGCCACAAGCTGTGTCCCACCGCTGTACAGCGCGAGCGTTTTCTTTTCGCTACAACCACCAAAACCAAGCGCCCACCTGTACACAGCCTCCAGCCCCTCCTCCGTCGTCGCCCCTCCCCCCTCCCCTCCCTCGTCGCCCCCGGGTAGCAGGGCGAGGGCGTGCGTGATCATAGCGCGCACGCGCTCGGGAAGCCCGCAGCCCCTCAGGAACCCGGAGAAGGGCTTCCCGGCGTGGGCTTCCGCGTCGAAGTCGCCCGAAGCGGCTTCGCGGTTCTGGGGGCGCCGCAGGCTGCGGCCCCTCCCCAGGCCGGCCTCGTTACGCGAGAGGACGTCCTCTCCGCGCCTCTGCAGGCCCCAGTCGCTGGCGAAGAGGAGGAACTTCATGAGGCGGCGCTTCTCGAGCGGAGTCAGGAGCTTGGTGCCGAAGACATCCGCCTTGGAGCAGGGCACCCGCGAGAGGCCGAGCCTATGGTGGGGCATGCTGCTGCTGTCACCAGCGCTGTTGCCGCCGCCGCTGCTGCTGCTGCTGCTGCTGCTGCTGCCGTTGGTATCTCTACGGCCGCCGTCCCGACTTCCTCCTGCTGCTGCTGCGTTGGGCCCTGCTGGTGCCCGCGCCCCTCCAACGCCCGCGGACGAAGTCGGAGCAGCAATGTCGGAGGCGAGGTAGAGAGCCTGCATGTCCTTGAACTCCAGGTAGCTCGCCACGCCGGAATTGACGAGAGCATCCACCGCGGGCCCGGTGGCAAGCAGCACCTACGGTAGTACGGGTGCAGAACGGGGGACGGGGTGGGGTCGTCAGACGTTTTCCCGGCTTGGTGTGACAGGCAGGGTGTTTGTAAAGCAGTACCGCTTTGAAAACAACAGCAGGGGGTTAGGATTTGAGGTGGCCCCCTGGTGACAACGGTACCACTACTGTGCTTGGGGGACGTACCACAGTATGGTCAGGTGTACAAGCCAATGCTCAACTCCATGCGTCCCGGAGCACCGGGAGCGAGGCGGACATAGACACCTCAGCACCGCCTTCGCGCGACACCGCCATGCCGTGAATCCATATCCATCATCACCCACACAAACGTAGTTTAAGATACCTGAGAGGTCAAGTCCAGGTTGAAAGACCGCGACAGACGGACGAGATCCGCCGCGCCCGGCCGCCGCTCCGTACGGTACCCCCAGAACGACGGGTGCACCCCCTCTTCTTCCCCCCCGACTGCTCCCCCATCTCCTCTCATAGTCGGGTCGCGCCGGCCGGCCCAGGCGGGGTGGGAAGGCTGCGGCTGCCTCCCCCCCAAGAAGCGGCCGGATGCTGCGGCGGCATCCTCGGCGACCTTCCGCCTCTCCCGCTCGGGGACGCAGGCGTCGCTGGGCGCCCCCGCGCGCGTTCGACAGCCGTGGTAGGACAGGGGCAGGAGGTGCAGGTTTAGGGTCTGGAGGCGTGCCGCCGCCGCGGCGTCCACGGCCGCTTTTTCCGCCGCGGCTTCCTCGGCAGTGGGCTCCTTCTCTTCTCCGCCATCCCGCTGCTGCTCCGTTTGGTTGGTGTTGGGCGAGTTTTGCTCTGACGCCCCAGCAGCAGTCGAAGCGGTGTCCGCGTCTTGCGATCCCTGCTGCTGTCCCTTATTCTCTTCTCCCTCCGCCGTTGTCTCTGCCCCCGGCTCGCCACTGTTGCCCTCGCCACCCTCCCCCCCCGCGGTAGCCTTCATCTCCCGCTCCTTCTTCAGCTCGTTTCGGGCATGGGCTCTAGCAATGGCCGTCCAAGCGTCAGCGCTGTCAACCATTTTCGCCGCTTGGTTTGTCGAGATCGCGCAAGTCTGCCCCCCATCGCCGGCGACACCGCCTTTGCCCCCATGGTGCTTCCGGCCGTTCGCTTCGGCCCAGTCTAACAGCTGCGTGAAGGAAAAACTGGCGGAGTCTTGGCCGTAGTACTCGTGGCAGTCCAGATACAGGACGCTTTTCCCCGCCTTCGCCAAAGCTCTGTTTTTGAGTGTTTTGGGTGGGGGAGACAGACATAGCCATGACCGTGGCAACGCATTAGATTACATAAAGAGACAATGCACGCAGGTTTGGGGCCGATCGTGATCAGATGCTGCGGCTGTCGCGGTGCTCCGGGGGGCGAGAAGACCGCGAGAGGGAGAAGGATAGAGAGAACGAGAGAGACCACACGCTATGCAGGTTGTACAGTGCAGGGATAGGTGTTAAATAAAAACGAGACCCCGACGAAACATCAATGGCAAACTATGAATGCAACTTTGTCGCCAGTGCGTGGGTCGCCTGCGTATGCCCAACGGGTACGGAAGACGGATCAAAGGCGAAGAGAGCCCGCAGGAGAGCAAAGTGGGGGGATTGCGTGAAGTTTTTTTTCAGAACATTTTTTATTTATCGCCTTACGCTGCCAGGATGCTGCTGCCGAGGCCCGTGGACAGGACGATCGCGTCATAATAGTCCTCCAAGTAGTCGTCCACGTCTCCTGCTGCTCCGTTCATGGCTCTAACGCACTGCAGCGGTACGGAGCATACACTGGCGTGCCATTCTTTTTTCTCGGCATTCCGCTGCCCGCCGCCGGAGCGGGAGGACCAGTACGCCTCTAGAACCAATGGAAACCCACCCATTGCAATTCCCGAGCGTTTGGGGGGCCTTCTCGCCTTCTCGCAACCTCTCTCTTACGCGCTCTGGGGCTAGGCGAGCCTACGCACAGCACCATGCCGGAGGCAGTAGTAGCCAAGAGGTCGAGGGCGGAGAAGAACGCAGCGAGACGAAAACGCAAGAGAGATGCTTCTGCCGCCGCCGCTGCTGCCGCCGCTCCGGCCACACATGATCCCGCCGCTGTACCGGCACCGCAAGCCGCCAGTGGCAGCAGCACCGCCGACAGGGCCTCGCGCAGAGAAGGAAAGCACGGCGTCACCACGAAGAAGCAGCGGCTGGCCGTCTCCTTCGATGATACGGGATCAACAGCGCCAACAGCGGCAGCAGGAGCAGCACGAGGAGAAATAGTACCAGACGGCCATCGCATGCAACATGCACACGTAACAGGTCTGCAGAGGTCTTCCGGTGCTGCTGCTGCTGCTGCTGCTGTTGCTGCTGCCGGAGGGGGTGAGCACCAGGGACACTCGTCAGCAGACGGTAGAGAGGGTGGCAGCAGAGCAGCAGCAACAGGAGCCGGTCGGGGTGAAGGGGAGGTAGCAGCGCCAGGGGCGGCGGCACCACCTTCGGCGTGCAAGTCCGAAAGCAATGGCAAGAACATCAGCAGTGGTGACAACGCGCAGAAGAGGAAGAGGAAGAAGAACAACAAGCGCAGTAAGAACAAAGCTAAAGGGCCGCAGGAGAGCCTACCGCCCCCCTCTGTTCCTCTCCCTACTCCTCGCACTCCCAGAGAGCCTACCGGTGTGGCTAGTTCTCCGAGCGAGTGCCGCTCCCGCCAAGGTTCTACGACAGTGGCACGAGGCGGTGACAGCAACGGCAGCGGGGGTACGAGAAAAGACGAGGAGGCGCGCTCGCTGTCCAAGGCCTTGGAGAGCGCGAGGAAGAAGCACCGCCAGGAAATCGGGAGCGGCAGGCCGCTCGTGGGCTGGGACGTGGCCGCCTACGCGGGTTTCGTTTTCGGAGAGCTGGCGGCGGCGGTGTGCAGCGGGCAGGGCGAGGAGGAGGAAGAAGACGGAGGCGCGGTTGCGGGTGCGGTGGACGCTGTGTCTGCCGCTGCCGAGGAGGAGCACGCGGGGCAGGTGGGTCCGCTAGGCTACTACTGGGCTTCCGTTGACCGGTGCATGTGACGTTAAAGCTACTGTGCGGCTTGATGTTCTTCCGTCGCGTGTGTCGTCTACTCCGTATCCCCACGCCCCGGGAATGCTTGCTTGTGGTTGCCGAGATACTGCTGCGCTCCCGTACAGTTCACGTGCTTCTGTTCCTCTGGTCCCCGTAGCTTTTGCTGACGTTGAAGCTCTCGATATTTCATTTGCGTGACGCTGTTTCTGTACAATCTGGGCGCTCGGTGCTCTCGGGCCGTTGACACAAAGGTGTGAGAGACGGCGTGTGTTTTTTGCTGGCCATGACAAAATTTCACTCAACAGCGGCACCATGCCCGCTATCTATGCATTGGCCCAATCTCGCTGGGGGTTGAACAGCCTGTAGCGCGAGAGATGGGAAAGTGATACAGGTTCACAGCATCCCTCGTCGAATAGCCCGGACTCGTGATCCAAAATGCCCTTGTCTCGGTGGACTCTCGGGTGCATGACGGCCACGGGTGTGAGCGAGAATGACAAGGCAGCAGAACCGCGCTCAGCTTCTGCGTGCCCACCTTTACCTTTGGGTTCCAATCGAGTCGGAGCCTGCGTAGCCTGCACTCGCTTTTCGTTCTACTCGAGTCGGAACGTGTGTAGGCTGCAAGTGGCATCCTCCAGTCCCAATTTTCCGCCACACTCAACGTGGTGTGTGTGTGTGTGCGAGTCCAGGTGAGCATGTCCCAGTTCGAGGGGCTAGTCCGCAAAGAGGCCGCCGGTTTTTCGGCCAGGCGTCGGGCGGCTTCCCTGCTAAGGCGGGCGCTGGAAGAAGAGCAAGAAGGTGGGAATCGGAACAGAAAGGGGGAAGAGCAGGGAGACTATTGGGCGGTAAGAGGAACGTTGTGGTGTCTTGAGTACTGTTTGTAGAGAACCGAGTCAGGCATTTTGAGACTGCCAACGGCCCGAGCGCAAAGATCTCGGCAAACGTTGTCTTTTTTTAAGCGCGACCTCGGCTTCTACTGCAGTACCAGACAAAGCAGCAGCAGCAGCAGCAGGAGGAAACAGAACAGCAGCAACGTCTGCCCCGTTGCTGAGGCATTCGATGCCATGCCTTCTCGCCCCCCCCCCC